GAAGTGAAAACTACATGAAATTCTGAACGCATTCCCCATCATGGCAGGCGTTCCAGAAAAAGTCTGGTTACCTACTAATACCAGAGGTAATGATGCAATACTTTACCTTAGAGGAGATTGAGAACACAGATAACTAAGCAGAGTCACATTGATACGTTAAGAGTTATATTTTATGTTACATTTCTGACAATATAGAGACCTAGGGCAGTCAAAAATACAATTACAGTAGCTTTACCTAGGTAGAGAGGAAATGCCCTGTTGCATTCTTTGCCAAGTGAATGTAAATGGAAATGTCAAATCAGAAAGCATCAAGAGGAAGTTGATCCTCAAGGCTATGATGACTATGATCACATATTCTCACTATCAACACAAAAGTCTCCTACAAGTATACAACTAAGGGAAGTGGTTAACATTTCTTATAATGCTGATTTTAAAGAGAAGTCATGTAGCAAGACAAATTCACCTTCTAAATAATTAAGCTCCATGCCGGCTATAGGGAAATATTTGTTGTGATCAGTTTACCATTTCTACCAGCACTAAAATCCCTCAAATTTGTATTATTGAAGTCTTAAAGCAAACCACTCCAAATGTATGCTGCAGACAGAAATACTGCAAAGGCATAAAGGTCAACCCAACTGTGGAGTTTCAATAAAGTTGTACTTTATTAATGCTGTTTATGATTCTCATGGGCTTTGGATCAAATCCCATCCTAGCCAAAGTAACTTTACTGGAAAAACAAACAAAAATCCCCAAAGTGAACAGACTTTGTAAAAATTTAATGATATAAATGAATATATTTATGTTAGAAGATTTATACTGGTACTGTACCCCAGAATCAGATTATGTATTACTATAGCATTGCCTGACCCTGAAAGTTAATGTCACTGTCATGCCCTAAGTGCAGCTTCGAAATAAGCAGTGCAACTATTAATTTATATGGAGCACAGTACAATAAAGTAGAAAAGCCACACACAAATTGCAGCATCAGTTTAGAATAACTGTCCAAAAAATAACAAAGTGTTAGGCAGAGTGTATTTTACTCACATCTTTAAATGCTCTTAACATTCTCATCATGATTTAAATGATAAGCCTAAGGAAGTTCAACACAGAAGTTATGTGATGTGAAATGTTTGAGTGAAGCTTGAATATATTTGTAACAATTTTAAAAGCAGGCATTAGTTATCAGCTCTCACAACGCATGGTATCATCCATATTTCCCTGAGAAATCATGCCCTGCAATAACCATGTAAAACAAAAAACAGCATGAATGCAATCCTGAATTAGATTGGAAAAATGAAAAAAATCATGCATTAACAACTGTTTATGAACCAACACTTAAATTCTACTGCAGATATAACTATTAAATTGCAGACACTACATAAGACAGTCGTAACAAAAAATGGTAACTAACTCAAAACTTATCCCAAATAAAGAAAACTGATTAAAAGTACCATCCTATAGTTAGCCACATAACATTGTTATATTAACATGAGTTTCTGTTTCTTGATTTTTGAGTATGCCACCTCTTCACTTCAATTACAAACATACAAACACTCTGCCTTACTGAGGCCTATTTTCATATGAAATCTGAAAGAGTCCATAAACTCACCCTCTCTCTAGAAGTTAACTGTTTTTTCCCCTCCTCCGATAGCTTAGTTTAGCTCAGTAACTTAATTTCCATAAAACACGAGGATCTTTCAGTAGGGAATAGGAATGATAACATTCAACACAAAGAGATGGAACGGAGAATTACCAAGAAATCGCTTTACCACCTTATTTAAAGCAATCATAGTTGTGAATAGCAGTACCTAGGCACAATGGGGATCATGAAAGAAAACGACAATTACAACAGCATACACCAAGGAAAGTAATTTGCAGACTCTGCTGTTTTTCCTAGTCCATTACAAGGGGCATGCAATGCATATACCAGCACACTGGGTAAGTATGACAAACCATGGTGCTGCACGTAATTCGAAAAATACCACAGCTTAACACCGTATTTCTGCAAAAATTCTTCAGTATTTGCAACACCACAGCGAGATAACCAGGCAGTGCCTTTGCCTGCCTGCTTCTGAGTTTCAGTGTGCAGTCCACTTCAGCCCACCTCCATGACAAGCCTTATCAGTCACATCCTGTAGTCCCCACCCCCTTACATGGATTTCCACAGGCAAAAAGCCAACAAGCAAGATGCAGTGCACACTGGGCAACAGAAACATCAGACTCTTGGTGTCTTCAGTGGCATTCACGTGGCCCATACTTTCTAAGTAACTGTCGAGTACTGATGTTGCATATATTTCTGTCCTTTGCTGAATTAGCTTTTACGTCTACAGCAGCCCCTCACAGTGAACACATTTTCAGCATGACTGAAACCTAATAAAGTAGCCAGAAAAACTAAAATCCTTTTTTGCCTTTGTTCTGGAGTGCAGCACACAGCACATCAAACTATGCAAGACTCATGAAAACCCTAAAAGCGAAGGCATGCTATGTGGCATTTGGCAAATTATCATCATTTCTTTCCTCCATACATAAAACCCAAACAGCTCCAAAACCTCAACCACACACAGAAGAAATTGTTGGTTGTCTCATAGAATTACAGGAATTAGTTTAACTGTTTGACAGAGCAACACGTGTAGTCATTTTCCATTTTGTAGGCATGGGAAATCACTGTTCCTTAAGCATCTAATAATACTCAAAGAGATGCTTGAGATAAAAATTGGTTATTTTTTAAAGTCTATATGCTTCCTACAAAAAGTAAGTCAGAATAAAGACATTCCCAAATCAAAGCAGTAAGAGCAATGACAATTTATGCTAGCACACAGAGGGTAAAGCATTTACGAGAGAGCTCCTTCACATTCCAGTTGTGTCATGAAGAAGAAAAACCCAGCATGTCTCCATTACATCAGAGGTACCTGAGAATCAAAGCTAAATCTCTTGTGCATTTACCAAGCACCCATTAGAGAACTACGCAATTTACATCTCAAATTAGACATTATATTTATAAAATATTATTGTATTAAAAATCACATGATTCTATAGAAAAAACCTCATCACATTCTATTAAATGCAGGAACAATGTTACATTTCATAGCTTCTGTAATTAAAACTGTAACGCAGGTCTTGTACTACAGGGGCACCACTGTTTAAAAATCCTTTCACGATGGACTGTTTGCTTTGTTTCTTATTCTTTGAAGAACTGAAATTTAATGCAAAAAGACTGTTCAAGCTACCTAGTGCAATGAGATTAAAATATTTAATATCTTAAAAAAAAAAACCCAAATTAACACGTTTTTGTTAAAAATGAAAACAGCGGGAAGGCCCTAACTTTGAGTTTACTGAACAAAAACATTCTTCAACATTTCTGGGGTCAGAGACAGAAGAATGTTCTCCTAGTACTTATTTTCTTAAGGTGTCTCAAACTAATGAATAATGCAAGTTAACAAAAGTCATATACATGGGAAACTATGATGATCTTTCACTTTAAGCCATGAACATAAGGACAAATACGAATAGCAATTGCCCAGTATACATTACAGATCCAATTCTACCAGTATGACTAATTTCAAAAGACAGTATTAGAATATTTTGCTAAAAATACTGTAATTGCCCATCCGAAAGCAAACTCAGTTTTCCCAAGCTTAGTCTGCTGATGCGACAAGTCCCAACTGATTCAAATTTGTAGTTAATGCCTGGTATTACATATTCGGTAGCATCTCATTGAAACATATCATTAATTAAAAACAGACATGAGCTTTTTATTGCCAGTAGGCCTTAACATTACTTCTTGGAAAAAAACTGAAGCTAACATACTCTAATTTGTCATAATTTAGAAATCTAAAAAAAAAATCCTTAAAAAAAAAAAAAACTAAGGAAACTCCGCGTACCAAAAAATCCCTGAAAATTCTACCAAAGTCAAATGTACAATTAGTTCTGCATACTGCACTTTCAACCTCTCTAGTTGTGGGGTTTGGGAATTGAAATGTGAAGTTTCTCCAAATGCCTACATAATTTTAATAAACTTTTTTGTTTGGTTTGGTTGAGGTTTGTTGTGTTTTGGTTTTTTTTCATTCCTATTTCAGGTGTCCAAAGAAGGACTTACTATCTCATCTTAAAGAGATGCCTCAGATCACTGAAACTTGTAGTGTAATCCAATATTAAAAAATTGGAAGGAAAAATTTGATAAAGGTACAATATTTGACCAGAACAGCCCCCAGGTTCATTTTTTCTTTCCTTCTCTAATTGCAGATGTTTACATTAAATTCTAGCTGCTGATTAATCAACCCTTCTAAATGTATAGCTAAGCATGTTGCTCTCCTGCATTTCCTCTTGTCTACTAGTTGTATCACCAAACCACCACATTTCTTCTGGAACGGTCATTAGCGACTGTCAAAACATGACAAGGCATTTGTGTTATGTCATCCTTCTATATTCGTGTGGAAGGATAGTAGAAGAACCCTACATTATTAATAATCTTGCTATGTCAAAGGGAGTACTGTTGGCTGAAAATTCATCCTATATTCGTTATAGAAAAATAAAATCTATCAAAAGCCAAAATTAACTTTAATATAAGTGTCTGATGGGCCAGAAGTTAGAAAATGGTACTGACTGATTTCAAATATTCCTGAATATAATTATTCAGAACTTTTCAGAATCAAATAGGACAGAAGCACTGCAGTGGAAGGAATATACAGGTTATAAGGAAAATGATCGATTTTAGAACAAATTTATTAATGCAACTGGAAAAATAAAATCAATGCTAACACCTTTCAGATTGTCCAGCGGATTACTGTAGTGCCAGCCCATTGACTGAAAACTTCCGCAATTAATTTGATATCATTCATAAGTCAATATGCAGTTATACATGTGAAAATTTTCAAATTTAGTTTTCCATGTGAGATAATTGGGAATAAGAACGGGTTACAGAATCAGTCTGTTTAAAACAACTTTGACTTGATTTTGAGAGTGTGTACCCAAATGTACTGTAATTAGAAATATTTTACCATTCCCTAAAATTTTAAACATTCCAGATTGTTAGGTAACAAAAGATTTTTAAACATCGGCACCCACTGCCAGTACAAGCCTTCTCAAAATGGCATAAGACAATATATATGTAGTGTTCCAGGATCGTAGAAAGATCCTGCCTCAATAATTACAAGAATGCACTTAATAAATTATTTTTCTATTTTCTTCTATTAATATGCAAGTAGTTTATACAACATAAAAAAGTTAATTTGTACCTACTACAGGTAACTTATCTATTTAGCTTTTCATCTGAAAGCCTGTAGGACTTGATGACCTGCAAACTTATTTACATAACTCATTTGAAAGTATTTCTTAAAAATAATATTGTCCAGCATTTAACAAAATTGTGAGTTAAAAGAAGAAAGAAATCACTTAACAGCATTTGCTTTCTTGATTTTGTCAAGTAACTTCACCAGCTCAGTGTTATAAGGCAGGTTGGTTGCTCAGATGGACTAAGACTTTCTATGGTGACAGGCATGTAGTAAATTTGTTCATTTATAAAACCAGATGAAAGCAAGAAAGAGGAAAGTTTGGAGTTTCAAAACAACTGAAACTTCTTATTTTTACTACAAATTCATAATAGGCACTGAAACATGATTCCTTAGGGACTTTTCCAGAAGATTGTCTCTTCGCTGGGCATCATTCCATTTTTAAACTAAGAAGAAAGAAAAAACAATATCAGGGCTACATAATTAAAGATTACAAAAAAAGGAATAGCCAAATGTATTTGTTTCCATCTTATTATTAAAGAAAATAACTTGTGTGTTTTAAGCTTAAGACATCACAATTACTGTTTTGGTTAGAATATTTTTAATTTCATTATTAGATTTGAGCAACATCAGAAAACAAAAATAACACTTCTTATCATATAATTCTGCATGCCTTATTTGAAAACTAATGCCCTGAAGTATAGGGCTAAGAGTCCTAAACTATGACTGTCTTTATACTCCAATACAGTATCAACAAACCATGTAATGCTCCTGTTAGTGGTTTGCGTAACCTACCCTTACAGAGGGATACTTTGCGAGCTCCCTAGCTTTCTACTCTAGTTTCTCTATCCTTATTGTGAGAAATACCTTCCCTAATATTTAATGCAATTTAACAACTTAATTCTTGTCAACCACAAACACAAGGACTCCTTCCCATTATCTAGACCCATAATGATAAAGTCTGGACACATCCTCTAAAATTCCTTAAACAGTCCATGTTTTTCATGAACTGCAGTAGCCCAAACTGAGACCTCAACAGCATTAAAGAGTGAAATAATTACTTCAGATCTCTTCCACACACATCATCCATACCAAGAAGTTGTATGCCTCTTCTGGTTTATTGACTCATGTCCAATTTTTGATGAACATTGTAATACTCTTAAGTAAAAAAAGTACTTTACATTTCAAAACCATTGACCAAGAACTGTATCAAGGTGAGAATAATGCTTGGTAATGAATATTAATGATTTTGAAGATACCCTTCAAAACTCTATCCATCAATACAGAACAAGATGAACTGTATGCTCTGTAAAAATGTGTTCTTATATAACACAAATGCCATAATGAAAACCAATCCTCACTTTCCTCTGTATTGAAGTTGATTAAGCATACCTTTTTCTATGAACTGCAACTGTCTCCATCTTGTAAAACACTATGCATAGGAATGAGACTTTCACACTGCTCACTTTCTTCCGGCATTCTTAAAATAAACAAATTTATTTATTTAAAGTGATAGAGAAATATTAAATTGGTTATTACAAAGCCAATGTAAAAAAAAGGCAACATAAGTTTGCTAGTGTTTTGAACTGCAGCCATTGAGAACACACAAAGATACCTTAACTTCGTAAAGTATACCCAAGTTCACGCAATTTTCACTGCTTGTTCTGGGTACAGCAACTATCATAGAGGCATTAAGGGGGAAAAAAAAAGAAATCTGTGATAGCCACTAGGAAACTTCTTTTAAAAGGTAAACAGACTTCACATCTTTCAATTTTCTGAGCATTACCTAGGTTAATAAATGGATTGGCAACTACTACTATTAAGAAATTAGTACACCTGAACACACCTGAATATAAAATTAGATTAAAATAAATACACTATGAGTACCGTGGCTTACAAAAGAGTATAAGATATTGGAAAAGTTAAAGAAGAGATAAGATTATACTCTGTGACTGCCCTACCTCTGAATTCGATGTTTTCTACAAATAAAGGCAAAAATTCTTCTGATTCCCACCATCACTGGATCCCAGTTGTTATAGTGACATAAGAGAGTTGCAATGAAAAAACTAAAAAACACAGGGACTGCCCCTGCAAAAAACAACCAGGAAAACTGCACCTGGAATTAAAACAGAAACATAATTCACTCAACAGTTTAAAAAAAAAATAAAAATTGGCATACTCTCGATTTGAAATAACTACTATTGTAAGTTTGAGATTAAGTTTCAGTTCTTTTAAAGTGGGTGAAATATTACAAATATTTTTGTAAGTTCTTTGGTACAATTTCTATAGCCACTACTACTTCTAATAAATTAATAACCTTTCTTCATTGATTCATTCTTTACAGTGGAACTTACTGTTTATGCTGTGGGGTGGATGAAGGCTGCTATTTCCAAATAGTCTCATTTTTAGATTTTATCTGTCTGACTCATACCAATGACAAAGTCTCCTAGACAGTTCCAAAAATCTGAATAACAAATCTCACCTGAAAGATCTGTGCACCTGTTTATTCACTATGAATATACTGTCACTCAATGGTAACTGCCGAAATCAATGCACACAGAAAGACTATACTACTGGAAAGTTACAACAATTTTATTTTTAACTTAAAAAAAGGCAGGGCACATTATTTGCCCAAATTCAACTAAATTCTACTTGTATCTACACTACTACTTGTGTCTATCTACTACAGCACTTGGAAGTGTTTATATGAGACTGTTTAAAACTTAAAATTATAGAAGGTTAGAGAAATCAAGGGTGTAAGAACAAGAACATCTCTGAAGCGCCTTCAAGGCTAACAGAGCAATGAACCGTGAGCACGGCTCCCTCTTGTGGGGAACATTACCAAAGTTGCAGACTGGAGAAAAAAGGTGCAGTTTTGATACCTAGCACTGATGTTCACTCTCAAAAAATACAATAAATTGCAGTTGTTAGAACTTTATGTTATCCTTACTGATTCCTAATGGAAATTCATAAACACATAAGTTACCAAAAGGAATATTTTAAAATATGGTTGTCATTTCTTAAGATTCAGATTTATGTCAGATTATTACAGAATAATAAAGACCTAGAAAGTTAATAATTATGCATATTGTATAATTACCATACCGTTTGACAGTCATATGAAGACTGTATATATTCATCATTCAATCTTTACAGTATTAGCCATTGCAGTGGCATTCTTACATAGGTTCCTTTTAAGAAAACTGCAATGTGGTGTAAAGACAAAGCTGGTCAGAAGCTCTAACTGGAAAGCTTGAAATTGTAATCTTAAATTTCTATTAGCCTATGAGACTTCAGTGAGCATGGGGCTTGCCTTAGGATATTTTGATGTTTGTATGACAGAGACACACTTGCACAAATACACTCGTACAACCAACCTCAAAGTCTACAGGAGTTCGCATTTAATTAGGGTCACTCAATTGCGCTTCTAATACTAGCAATTACTTTTCAAAAAAAAAAAAAAAAAGTAAGAGACAAAGGATTTACCTCCAACAGGAAGAGAAGATACAGCAGGAAATTTACTCTCTTGTCAAAGACAAGTCTTAATGGCCACCCGTGACCTCCTGCTG